ATTTGATTCGTTTGCCTATCAAATATTCATTTAAAATTTAATCACTTATTATTTGTATTATTGCACATATGATGTCATACTTTCAACCCACTTATCATTTCTACTTAAGTTTTATGTACTGATTTTTAAGACTTAAATAATATTAAATCTGTTTTCTTTGAAAATTTTAATTTATACACACACACATCATATATTATAAAGAAATAATTTTTATTTATGAATTTAAATACTATTTGAAAATCAAATTCTTTAGCAGAACAAACATACTTGGATTCAATAAGTATTCGTGAATATTCATGAATATTTATCAAATACCAAGTATTTGAGTTCGAATTCGAAAAACTCCATATGTGAATATTACAGCTTGCATTCAAATTCGATAATCTATACTACTATAAAAGATGATTGCTATGTTAAAACTTTTGATTTCCTTTTATACCCTCTCAATTTTAGTAATTCTCAGTAACTGTAAGTATTCAAGTTTATGTGGTTCCAATGACTATTAGGTTCCCTTGAAATTATGTTTTTGGTTAAGCACTAATTATCATGTTAGTTATCTTGTGAGGACTTTTGGGCTCCCATGAAATTGTATTTTGGGTTAAGCACTTATTCTTAATTTTGTTTTACATAATTATTATTCAGCTCCATAATATAGTTATGTGTATGTAATAATATGATGAAAGATAATATTTTTGAGTAACTAACCAAGATTATATTATGAAAATGCCTCTTTATGCATAAAGAAAGACACAATTTTCATCTTGACGAAGTTAAATATGAGGAATGTTTGACCAATAATTTCTTCATGTTCTTTGTTTAGAAGAATGGAGAACTTGCTTGTAATTATACCATAGAATTGTGCTTAATGTTGTACAAATTATGTACCGTGTGCTAATGTAGTAGCTAACTATTTTGATGTGGACTCCCATGAAAGGAGAGAATGAGCACTAAAGAGTAACTTCTAGAAAAAATATATGAGGATGGATAATCAAATTATTTGAAGAGATGAAGAGTCAATAGGAAAGTTTAATTACAAGATATTGATGGTTAAATAAAAATGATGTGCACTCAATTTAACAAGAAATTAGATAACGTTGAAATATCCTTATATTTATAATTTAAAGCGAACCACTACTTAAAACTACAGATTCTGGACCACAATGATACTCTTTGGTAGTTATTTTCATTATAGGAAACCTAAGTTGATACTATATTAGAGTGGACCCCTAAAGTTTCGCTGTTTTGAGATAATCCCCTAATACTTATTGTTTAAAATATAAATTTAACATTAAAAACTAATTTAATAACATATGTTAATCTATAATTGTATCATGCATCACGTGCAACGCACGTATGACATACTAGTATTAAACAAATACAAATATGAACACGATAGTATTCGGTTCGATTCGATCATTTACCACCCCTACTGGGAAGGGAGGGGGTGTTGATTAGGAAGGAATGGAGGAGGGTGAGCTGGGTAGAGAGGACTCCAGTGACAAAGAAAAAGAGAAGGTGAGGATGAGGGAGAGGAAGGAGATGGAGATTTTACATAGGAGATAGGTGATGTTGAAAAGATTTGGTAGAGAGAAGGGATTTGGTAGGGGAGTTTAGGCAAATGATGGCGGAGTAGAGTGGGTTCCGACAATTATTATTGTCGCGACAAGTATAGAGGTTTTCATGCAAAAGTCACCCCCAAAACAAAAAAAAACACCCCCCAAAGTTTAGGAGGGTTTCGTGAAAAACCCGAAAAGGTGAGGATAATTTTGTGAAGCTTATGTTGCACAGGTACTATGCAGTTGCCGATACAGGTGCGGGACACGAAAAATTTATAAAATATAGAGTATTGGATACAGCTAAAATTATCCAAAAGATGTCACATGTACATGATAGCTTAAACTCTTCAATCATGGTACCTAAGGGTTTTTTATCTAATTTAAAAAGTTTAGAGGAGTTTATGCAAAACACCTAAAATTCATGTAAAATTGGATGAAGTTGAGACTTTAGAATCCCATGGTCAAAAGAATCCAAAGGCATAGGCATGCAATCATTAATTTAGATTGATTTTTCACCATTTAATTGTTGCAAAGGTACCTACCTCAATATCATGTGCTGAAGAAAAAAATTATTTCAAGCAGGCTCTCTTGTTTACTTATTTCCTTTAATGGCATTAGAAAATCCATATTCTTCTTGTTCAATCAAGTACTTTATGTACTCCCAAAATGCAGCCATTAGACGTATACAACTTCCCAACATGTTATTTGGCCTATAACTGCCTTCTAATGCATACCTAATACACTCCTAAAACAAAAAAACATCCTCAAAGGGACTATTTTTATAGTATTATATGCACCTTAGATAAATAAGTAGGGTCAATTGCAAACAAACTCCCTATAGTATCACACAATTGCCAATAGACCCTCTGTAGGTCTATTTGTTGTGAATAGACACCCTGAAGTTCTATTTGTTACGAATAGACCCCTTGTAGTATTGGATCAAGTGCAAATATTCCCCATTAGTTAACTTTCTTTACTCTTTTGAAAGTAAAAAAAAAAGCAATTGGGTGTATATGCTCACCAATAGAATTATAGGGGGCCCATCCACACTCTTGGAAATTTTTTAATGATTTAAGCGTAAAAAATTCAGTCTGGGGGTGTATTTGCAACAAATAGACCTCCAAGACGTCTATTGGCAATTGGATGATACTATAGAGCATTTGTTCGCAATTAACCCAAATAAGTATAATGAGATTTCATTTAAAGCATTATAGATTTATAGTTATTATATTTTGTTTGAACTGTAAGCTGAAGGCTGCAGGATAATGATCAGCAAGCCAAATGTTTTAACTTGTTGTCAAACAAATATGTCATTAGCAGTCAATCCAACAAAAGACTCTTGCATTTTTACTAGAATCTGAAAGCTTGTAGCAGATTCAGCATTACATTTGCGTTATCTTAGTAACAGAGCCCTCGGTTTCTTCCTGATGAAGCACATCAATGAGGTTATATTTTTAAATATATAATATCATTTCCTTTCTCCAGTGGCATATATATATATATATATATATATTGAGGCAAATAAAACCTGTTTCAACATATGCAACTTCAAACATTATTGGCTTGTCCACCTTATATAAAGCCTATTGAATATTACGACACTCACATCCTGTATTATATTTTATCATGAGAAAGTTTAGACGTACTTTTTGCACAACCACCAAATACTACACCACACAGTAATCTTGAAGTCCAGATGCAGTAGGTTGACATGACTTTCCAACAATTCACCAGGCTATGAAAGCCTTGCATCTCACATCTATTTGATTTCTCACTATTAAACAAGTTTTATTTATAAGTCTTTTTAATATTATAAGTGGCATTATGAATTATGAATGTATATACACCGCATTATAATTTTTTTAGTTCACTGGATGTAGTAGGTTGGTATGTTCTGTTTATCCTGTCTGCAAGTCACCAAGTTATGAAATGCTACACTTACATTTTGATCAATACTTCACATATTTATATGTTAAGCAAAAATTATGAATTAATTTTAAAGATATCATATATGCTATGTTTCAATTATAGTGTACCCCGAATGCAGTAGGCTCATTATTCAGAATCCATTTCGTCCTTGCTATGCATCAGTTTTGAGAACTTTTAAGGTCCAACAAGTTCTTACTGCAGCTGTTGTTTCATGGGTTATAAGTGCATAACCATAGGTTAAACAGTAATACGACTTATATGAATCAACTTGGTGTATCCTTTTGTAAAACATTCTTAAACATGAACCAATAAGCTGCTCCATTTGAGGATTTTCTTACATCCATTTAGATGAGTGTCAAAGAGGATGGAACGAGCTTTATGCGCTTCAACTACTGCCGAAAAAAAATGTAATCTTGCAGAATATCTAGAAAAATCATGTAATGTCAAATACATATTATTAGTTTAAGCATAGTACCAATGTTTAGCAGGTCCTTTGTTCAAGCTTTATTAATACGACGATGTCAAATTTTTAGCTTGTTTAATATACATTATTAGCCTAAGACCCATTATCATAAGCTTAAGCGATCAGCATGCATATGATGGGTTGTTGTTGCTGTTGTTGTTCAGCTTTCCCTTCCTTCGCAGTTGGATTATGATTATTTGTAGTAAATTCTTGTGCTTTCCAATGGGAAATGTCACAACAATGAGATGAAGTAGATCACATCGACGAATTAAAGTGGAAAACAAACAGAGAGACCACTGGCTAATAAATTAAGATCCACCGGAGGAGGGGGCTGAATCGAATCAGAAAAGGGCGAAAAAGGAAAGAATTAGATCAGTCACCCCTCACCCTCACCCCACCCTCGATCACCTAACCCTAACACTCACCCCCACCCTCACCTAACCCTAACCTTACCCGAACCCTCACCATCACCCCCACCCTCACCTAACCCTCGTCTAATCCTAATCCTAACCCAAACCCTAACCCTAACCCTCGCCTAACCCCAACCCTAACCCTCACCCTCTAATGTCAAATACATATTATTAGTTTAAGCATAGTACCAATGTTTAGCAGGTCCTTTGTTCAAGCTTTATTAATACGACGATGTCAAATTTTTAGCTTGTTTAATATACATTATTAGCCTAAGACCCATTATCATAAGCTTAAGCGATCAGCATGCATATGATGGGTTGTTGTTGCTGTTGTTGTTCAGCTTTCCCTTCCTTCGCAGTTGGATTATGATTATTTGTAGTAAATTCTTGTGCTTTCCAATGGGAAATGTCACAACAATGAGATGAAGTAGATCACATCGACGAATTAAAGTGGAAAACAAACAGAGAGACCACTGGCTAATAAATTAAGATCCACCGGAGGAGGGGGCTGAATCGAATCAGAAAAGGGCGAAAAAGGAAAGAATTAGATCAGCAGATTCCTTAAAAATCAAAACTTTGCAGCATGGTATCAGATTTATTTTTGTATTGTTTATTTTTTTTATTTTTTTTATTTTTTTTTACCTTACACAGATTCCCATCGGTTGGCCACGAAACCCTCTTGGCTTGCTTCAATCCAGCCATCCAAAAGCCCTAGCCCGAGGAAAGACGAACAACTCGACGATCTAATCGACAAAACAAAACCCTAACCCTAATCGATTCCTTGTTATCTTTAATCTTCTGTTTGTAAAGAAGAAGGGGGGATGACGAAGAAGAAGAAGGGGCCAGATGAGTATTAGGGCACGCGGCGGTCTGGGTTTTATTTTGGGCCTTTTCGACATTAGTCCCCCACGTCTTTCATATTTTGAGATAAGCCTTCCAAATCTTCATATTTTGCAATAGTCCCCCTAACCTTCAAGTGTATTGAAATTAATCCCCCAAATCTTCATATTCAGAAATAGTCTCTTAAATATTTTAAGCACTTTTAAGTAAGTCCCTAGGCTTTTAACTTGGTGCAAACTATGAAGACTAATTCCATTACACTTTGAAGATTTTGAGGGACTCAGGTAAAAAATATGAGGATTTAGGAGACTAATTTCAAACTATTAAGGTTTGAGGGACTACTATCTGAACAATTTTTTTTTTTTGTGTGTGGAGTTATGGCAAAGCAAATAGCCCTTGCAACCAAATCATTCTAGTTATGACAACTCTTGTGTCACACCAAGACATAAATGGTATATAACTAGACCAGCAGAACATCACTTGGACGATGTCGAATCTAAATAATATACTCAAGCCTCTAATTTGCATGCTATTTTTTTACAAAATATGAATTTGCAGAAAATATTATATACTTCAGGTCTTGTGAGATAATATCCAAAAAAATTGAAATTAATTTCCAAAATCAACATATACCTGAATATCCATTGTTCCCGATTCAACAAGCTCTATACTCTGGAATATACAGGCCACATGCGAAAAAGATAAGAAAAATGGATAAATAACAAAAACAAATCCGTAAGAGTGGATAGTAGCAAGTATCACCAAAGGACATGATCCAAAGGACAGAATATAAAAAAAGGTAATTCGCTACACAAATAAGATCAAATAAAAGAAGGCTTAAAGCAATATTCATCAATGATTCAAAAATAGAGACAATATCAATAATTGAAGATGAATACAGAAAGATATACATGATTTAGCAAATACAAATCTAAGAACGACACTCAACTCATGTCAAATCTTTCCTACTAGTTATGTTTCTCATGGGAACATATCTCTGAATTCATTATTTGGCACACGGTAGTTCAAAACTCAAAACACTAACATACTGAACATAAACATACTTATTATTCATCATGCATGCATAACCATATACATATATCATATAAGCATGTGCAATCAAATTTGTAAATTCCTAGTATACTTATTGTAGGCTGTCTAAAAATTACTGCAGATAGCTGATCCCCGCAAAGCACTAACGATGGAAGTTATAATTTGACGACTTTCACATCAACAATCTGACGACTTTCACAACAGCATACGAGAGTTACAAATTGATGACTCTCACATTTTAAAGAGCCAAATGCAAGGATTATAAGATGACGATCCTTGCAACACTCAAAGAAAGAGATTACAATTGATAATCTCTTCAAGGCCAAACGCGAGGGTCCACCCTTGCGTTTCAAACTCCAAACGTGGGTCTCACCTCCGCGTTTCATACTCCAAACGCAGGTCTCACCTCCGCGTTCCAAACTCCAAACGTGAGGCTCACCTCCGCGTTCCAAACTCCAAACCCGGGGCTCAACTCCGCATTCCAAACTCTAAACACAAGGCTCACCTTCGCGTTTCAAGAACTAAAACGCGAGGATCACCTCCGCGTTTCATAGGCTAAATGCGAGGCTCACTCCCAAACGCGAACCTCATATTTGAATGCTTCAAACACGATTTGAACGGTTTCAAAACCATTTTACACATAATGGGTCATTAAGCCCCCATTACGGAGTGAATTAAGGGGTCAATTATACCCCTTAAACGCTATAAATAGCTGGGTTTGCAACTAAAATAGGGTTAGCTTGGTTAAGGCTTTTGTTAGAGTTTTGGAGATCATTTGCCTTGACTTTTGAACCATTTTCGGTTGAAGAACTTTGAGATTGGCTATTTGGCTTATTTTAGCTAAAAAGGGATTAATTTTCTTCTGAAATTAACTCTTTCGTAGAGTTCTTAAACTCGTTTAGAGTTCTAAACTTGCCTTGCAAGTTCTTCCCAGCGTAAAAGTCAAGAGGAAGAGACAACGTTCTACGAAGCGAAGTGCTTGGATCGTTAACGAGATACAAGATTTAAGCTCTCATCGTCACCAAGAAGAACCCAATTTTAAACAAAAGGAATGATCTTCATTGATTTCTTCTCTCTTTTGTAAATCGGGAAACCGATAAAGAAGATTGTAATTTCTTTTTTCTAAGTTAGTTAAAGATAGATTGCAAAGAGAGATTGTATTCATTCTTTTCCTGAGCTAGTTAGAAAGAATAATATTAATATATCTCACAAATAAAAGATGACGACTCTGTTGGGAAGAGCTTTTTCACCAATGAAGAGGTGGTGGCGCAATTCGACACCAAACTAGTGGGAACCACTGATAAACTTTGACTGTTGAGTTCGACCATGCCAAGTATGAAGAGTTTCTCTCCTCCGGATCTCTTAGCCCTAAGACTATGTGCAAGATCCTCAAAGTATTCAAGGAGACTGGGATTCCTCCTATTGTTGACTCGCCGAAGGAGTGTCTCTCCTTTGGATCCCACTGTTCATATAGCCCTTCTTCAGAAGGAGAAGACTTAGCTCTAACTGAACTCGTTAATCAAGTTAGAAGCCCTACACACATGCCTAAACAACGGGTATAGGGTCACAAGAGGCCCATTATAGTGACTAACATGATCATTATAGATGGTGATGCCACTACAAAAGCCTTAAGTCAGGCTAAGAAGAATGTTGCTCGACGAATGAGAAGATCCCTACTACGAGCACAACTCTTAGAAAGCCGATCAACCAACCAACAAGAGCTTCGTGTTTGTGATCCTCAACACAATCATGAGCTTCACATTTTAACTTTAGAACGCGAGCCTCGCATTTATGTGCCCAAGCACGAGCCTTGCAAAAGCCAGGCTGAACGCGATCCTCAATGGCGTGTTTCACAATCAAAACACGGACCTCAAGTCCACGTTGAACGTGGACTTCAGGCCTACGTTGATCAATCAAAATGCGAACCTCACATTCAAAAAAGTGTTGCACACGACCCTCGCGTGTCCACTCTTAAATGCGACCTTCGTGTTCTTACTCCTCAACGCGACCCTCGCATTTCTAATACTAAACGTGATGTGATCCGTCGTGTTCAGAAGAACCAACATGGATTTAAGATCCATGTTCACTAGGATCCAATCCCGCCTAACTATGGATAGGGGGTTCCAACTCAAACCTCACATTTAATGAGTAACTATTCTTGAGTTCCTGCAACGTATTTGAGAGAGTTCTTATCAAGAGAAAGACCGGTACAATAAGTCGCTCATTCATGCTAATGTGAACGGCTAGTTTCTGCGGTCCTCTCAGGATGCCAATGTTGCGCACCTATAACAAGACCGTCAGTGTTCGACCGACTGACAAACGTTACTTTGCCTAATAAGCGACGACGTTCTCTCAAGAAGAAAACTCTAGAGGATGAATATCTTGGAGTTACTATCAATATGATTGGTAGAGGGCAGTCATCAATCTCTAGCTCCGAAGAGTCTCTTGGCTTGAAAGAGATCCCGAGTGAGTATGATGGAATCTATCAACACACTCAGACTCGAAAAGGAGTTATACCCCCTGTCGGCTATCAAAAGTTGGATAAAGGAATTAAGTCTGAAGATGAACATTCAGCCATCACAGAGTCTCAATCCTCAAGTTCTTTCGTAGAATATGAGAGTTATGCTTATATGGTGGGAAACCCCGAAGCAAGTCATGCTCAAATCACAGCAGGAGACTATCAATGAACTTCGAATCTTGATGGCCTAAATTGTTGCGGACAAGGCCAAGTCCCAAAAAGTAGACTCACCTCCTCAGCATGAATCTTTTCGAAGAGTGGGATCATCGTCATCAAAGGGGAAGGAAAAAGTGATCGAGACTTCTGATTAAGAAGCTCACCACATAGAATCTTCGTCTGTAGATGGAAAAGAGACCAATAATGAGCAGAATCCTCAGTCGACCAAAATGTCATTGCTAATAGAAGCGAGCTCCAAGATGAGGGAGTTGTTAAACCATATCCAGCCGAATGGGATACAACCCCTTATCCTCCTAAATTTAAAGTCCCGACTCTGCAAGCTTTTGACGGCACAGGATCATCAAACCATCACATCTATTATTTCAAGTCATAAAGTAGAAATGTAGTAGGAAATGATGATGTACTGACTCGGTTGTTCATTAGCACCCTCAAAGGGGTTGCCTTTAGATGGTTCATGAAACTACATGTAGGATCTATCCAGAAGTGGATAGATCTAGAGAGACTCTTCCTGTCAAGGTTCTTTGAAGATGATACGGAAGTCTCCATCCTTCTCTTCTCACCACCAAGCAGAAGAAATGGGAACCCATCAAAGCCTTTGTTTAGAGATTTCGAAGCATGGCTCTTCGATGTCCGACGGGTATGATACAGTCTACTTTGGTGAAAACCTGTCGACGCAATTTGCAAACCAACCTCCTAACCCAAATGAGAGTTGCAGAGTATCATTCCTAGAAATAGCTAGTCTCCTAAGGTGAACAGGTTGAAGAAAAATTTGTCACCACGATCAAAGCCAAAGAGGAAGGCAAACAGAAGCAACCGACGCAACGTGGTCAAGGCAATGCTTCCTGATCAAAAGGAAAAGATACCCTAGCCACTGAAGCTAATACTTGAGCGCTACCTACTAAACAGGGAAAGACATTGGGTCAATAAAGAGCACCCAAGTAGTACTCTTTCAAATAGGATCACGTGGTCACTTTGTTCAAGCTACTTTAGAAGAACAACAAGTTGAATCTTCTTGAAGTGAAGAAACCTGAAAAGGTGAGAAAGGTGGATGATCCTAACTACTGCCTCTACCACTGAATGCTTGGGCATCCGACAAAGATATGTTATATCTTTAAGGATATCCTGTAGGCCCTAATTGATGTCAAAGTACTCAAATTAAAGCCGGAATAGAAGACTGTATATACCAACATGATATCGGTCCAGTTCGGGAATTTCTCACCCGTTGCAACTCCTAATAGTACTGTCCCTATCCCTAAGGGGGAG